TTCTTCTAGCCATTCTTAACTAGGCACTAAGTTTAGTTTCACAAACCATACTGGGAAAAGCAAGTAGTGTAACCATAAGTGTCATTGTGAATAACTAAAGAAACGGTTGGTATTCTGTTCTGTAAAGATTTAAATATGCAACAATGGTGCTTTAAAATCACTTCAAAGGCCCCCTCTAATTTGCTTACTTTATCCAATGTGCTAAATGGTATTTAAACTAAAAATAATAGTTATTTTTAATTCACATTTTTATCACCTCTCACAATATTGTTTCTAGGCAGCATAAAAAAAAAAACTTAATTGTACAAGACATTATCAAAGATGACTGTCAAAGTAATGTACTTGTAGCAAAAATATAGGTTACAGTTGCATATGGCAGTTAACCCATGTAATTCCAATTTCTTTTCCCTGAGATAACATGTATGAATACATAAGGATATTAAACAATCTTTAACAATTACGTCAAAAATATATCTCAAAATCCATACAAAAAACTTGATTATTCGTCAGGTCACAATTGTGACCATTAGTAGAACAAAGGGAGGCTAGGTATATGGTGTTAATGGATTTATAAACTGACAAACTTCTACAGTTTAAAGACCAGGTTCAATAATTGTTTTAAGCTTTAGTTAATAGTGTTGTATTACATCAAAGACACACCATGCAAAATTTCCATTTGTCAAACAGTGACCCCTAGAGTTGCTGTGGAGTACTTGTATTTTTTCTGAATATTAACTTAATGAACTAATATCTAATATGCCCATGACAATTTAGAAACTGAAAATAGAACATAAAAATATGTATTAGATCTAATATAACAAAATTACAAGATTATAAAATGCATTGCGTGAATTCTTGTTTAAAGAGAAGTGTTTAATCTACAATTAAACTAGGAATGTTTGACAGAATAGTGAATATTATCAGGAAACCTGCTCCAGACTTTAGGACCCACATGCAAAAACAAAACATTCTCTCCTTTAGTGCAGTTCAATATCCTAAGTAGTACCAAAAGTCCAGAATTGTAAGATTCTTACAAGAACCTGTTAATCTTAATGTTGTAAAATAATATTTTATTGATCTATATACTGCATCTTGGACTAACTTTATTTGTTAAAGGTGCAGGACAACCACCTAACAGTGAATCACAATAATATCAACTAAACTCATTAAACGTAACATGCTGTCCATTTAAATACTAAATCTTCATTTTGAGTTGATTCTCATTTGAACTATGGAACTTCTACATCTATGGAAACACATGACTTCCCAGGGGCTCAATGAGTGACAGGCATATGACCCAGAGATTGTGGGTTCAAGTCCTTTGTCTTACAACTTTATAAAGTTGTGTCATTTCAATTTCTTTATCATACTGAAAAGCATTGTACTATTCTTTCTTCCTATTAAATACAACGTGTGTTTCATTTATATGCAAAGTCTTTATTTTGAGTTCATTCTCTTTTTTACTACTGAACCTCGGCAGCTGGATGATCTCATTTCTTTTGTGAGGTAAGAAGTTAATGAGTAAGAACACTTTGGTTATTAAAGTTTCTTTTAAAGTTTTGAAAGCAAAGTATTTTTAAGTACCTTTTGAACCCATGGAACCATTGAAGGCTTGGCCCCGTAAGGCTGCTTGCAGCTTTAATTATTAGGGGCCAAGCACCGAAGGTGCAGAGGCACCTATTGTATCTGTTAGTTTTCTTATTATTATTCTTCTTCTTCTTCTTCCGCAAATGGAAGTCTATGGCAGCCCTATGAACCGTACATAGGAAAATGATGAAATTTGGCACACTTGTAGTGATGCTAATGAATAGTAATTGGACCAATTTTTGACCCTCTAGGACCAACTCTATAGCGCCACCACCAGTTCAAAATTGTAACATTGAAATGGTTATAACTTTTGAACCCTTTGATCTAGAGACATGAAACTTGGTACACCTGATTCCTCTCATCATGTTGATCACAACCAATACCTTACATTAAGACCCCGCCCATTACAGTAGTGGCCATTTTGAAATGTACAGTATTCAGTTATTTCGCTACTCCTCCTTCAAATTTTGTCCAATTTTCTCCAAACATGCACTCAAATGATCTTCAGACTGAGCCGCATAAAAGTACTGTTCCCGATTTTTTTGTTATACTGGAAAAAAAAAGTTATAATGTCGCAAACTTAACAAGGTCCACCCAAAATTGGCTAAGAGGCTGTATCTCGGCCAAAGTTTGATCAATCAAAACGAAAATTGGTACACTTCATCGGAAGCATGTTCTGAGGTCCCATGCCAAAGTTGGGAATAGCGCCACCTACGGGTCATGAGATATGACAAATTGCTATTTTGGCCAATAACTTTTCAACAGTTTGTCAGAAATTCATAATTGTGGTATCTATGGATTCCTTGCGTCATGCCGAATCCGTGGATATCGATTTTGCCATGATGGGATGTACCACGTGTCCGCCATTTTGAATTTTGTCATAAATTGCAATATCTTTTAAACTATTTGACATATCAGCACACAATTTGGTAGGGATGACCGACACCATGTCCTAAAGCGACATGAGAAGTTTGATCACAGCGCCACCTAGTGTTCCAGATATATCATTGTTTTTTGAAAAAACGCTTATAACATTTGAAAATATTGTTCAAATTTTGAGTTCTTTATGACATTATGTTCCTTGGTTTATGCCGATTTAGACGATATCTCATTTGTCATTTTCCAACAATGTGACTGGCCGCCATATTGGAGCGAATGTAAAACAGTTTTTTCGCTACTCCTCCTTCAAAATTTGTCCAAAATTTTCCAAAATTTGCTCAAATGATCTTCGGACCGAGCCGCATAAAAGTACTGTTCCCGATTTTTTTGCTATACTGTAATAAAAAAGTTATGATGTCACAAATTTAACAAGGTCAACCCAAAATTGGCTAAGAGGCTGTAACTTGTGAACAGTTTGTCACAAAATCATAAAATTGGTGTCTATCGATTCCTTGCATCATGTCGAATCCGATGATATCTATTTTGCCAGGATTGGATGTACCACGTCATAAGCTAAATTAGCAATAAGCTAGCTTAGCATGCTAATCTGGTTAACATGTCATGGAACTTTTTTGTGAACTCATTCTCACACTGAACCCTCTCCTCTGCTGTTTTGAAATTCACGTCCTCTGAGTGGCGCAATCAGCTAAACCATGCATCTCGAATCCCGAACCATTCTGGTCGTGGGTTTGAGTCCCATGTGGGACGACTTTAAAATTTGTGTATAAAGTTGTCATTTCAATTCCTTCCGGCTCTGCTGTTGGTGCTTAAATGCTCGCTGTGCTTCATTTACATGTATATTCAATTTGTGCTGTTTTTGTTCTTGCGGCTCTGCACTGCTATTGGTGCTTAAATGCTTGATGCGCTGCTGTACTTGCAGTACTTGCTGTACTTGCTGTGCTTGCTGTACTTGCTGTACTTGTTGTACTTGCTGTACTTGCTGTGCTTGCTGTACTTGCTGTGCTTGCTGTACTTGCAGCTTGCTGTACTTGCAGTTTGCAGTACTTGTTCTGCTTGCGGTGCCAAGCCTTTGAACTTTGCTGTACTTGTTCTAATTGCGGTGCCTTGCAGGGCTTGGCCCCGTGTTGCTGCTTGCAGCTATATTTATCTGTTGCTTTCGGTGACGTGAACTCTATTAAATCTGCATATAGCGCGAAAATTGAACATCGGATTTATATCTGTTTTGCAAAAACACATTTATGTGACCAGCTGTAAATGGAATCGTTTTGATAAATCAGTAGCTATCCGATCTGAGAAAACGCATGAAGTGGCGCGCGCGTGTAACGTTAAACAGCCGACCTGGGGATTCCCCAGTCCCAGCTCAAAACAAATTACACCAAAATCCATGATTGTTCGTTTCACACATGTATTTAATGATCTGTAAAATATGTTGTTGTCATTATTTATTTAAAACAAAATCGTGATAAAGTAAAATGCGATCAAACTAAAAGTAGTAATATGCGATAGGGGGCCCCGGCTGTCAATCAATATCTTCCAGTAGAGCGGGCCCCTGATTGGTCCGGGCCCGTAAGCAACCGCGTACCCTGCTTACCGATAGTTACGCCACTGAACTGAGTGGGCTACACATGCTTACATTTATAAATATAAACTTTATTTCTATTCAATTTTCAAAATTATTTATCCAAAGAGAGTGAACTATTTGCACTGTATTTATCAATGGGAAATACATCATGCTAAAATAATCTTTCATATGTAGGCCTACTGTGTCTCACATTAGTGGGGTCGCTTGCAAGTCGCAGCAGCACGCGTTACGTGACCAGCAACATATTTCTGCTTCAAATATTGTGCGTAGTTAACAGTGAGTGGTGGTTTCAGACATTGTTTATTTTATTAAAGTGCATTTGTCAGTGCCGCACTCGTGACTCTTATCAGAGACTACTGCTATTATTCTGCCGACAGAAAGAAAAGCTCGTACTGAAGGCGGTGCGGTTTGACCAATCAGATGAAAGGGGCGTTTCAGCGCCGCCCACGTGTGCAAATGAAATATCAAACCCATAAACCGATTTGTAAACCACAAACGAAAAATAAAAAATGGAGCCAAAATTTAATTTTTCGTTTTTTAAACTAAACAAAAAAACGAATAAACGAGCTGGATTTCATTTCTATACTATTCCATTCCAAACAGGAAATCAAATGACCAAAAGATACACGGACCCATCAGACTTACACCCCTTATTTCTGCATAATAGAACCTATATCAAATTCTGTATACTTTTAATGATGATTTTACAAAAAATATCTATAAAAAAAACTATAGTAAATGGAATATATATTATATAATATGACACTTCATAGTGTTTAATTAATATATAATTTTACTAAACTACTTTTACAATTCCTTTTATCAATCTTTTACTAAAAATAAAAACCCCTTTACATACCTCGAGTCTTATATTCTTCAAATTTTGATATAAAAATATAAATTAAAGGTTACTCATACATATTATTTGGAACTCGCTTTACGGTTGATCTTGATGAAACACCTCTTCACCTTCCCCTTTTCTCCAGCTTATTTTGCTGTCACTCTCCAGTCCCATGATCTTTAGCTTTTCACTGATCTAGAGAAGAAAAAATTTAAAAAGTCAAATGAGAGTTGCTTGCCTACTCTGAAGCATAATGCTTAATGATTTTCTGGGCGTCTGTCATGGTACTGTTATGCATTCAAAATTTGACACTGAAACTGAACACAGTTTTTAAGGCAGAGACAAACCTCATTCAGAATGGCAGTCTGTAGTGAAGGATCATTCAATGTGCATTCTCCATTACAAGACAATTTCAGTCTGACAATCTGCTTTTTAATTAATGTGTCATCTAGAAAAATTAAGAGTTTATCATCATCAACACAGAATAAATAAAAAGATATGACAGTTGTTTGTAATGTCTGTTTCAAGAATTATCTATACATATCTTGTTTGTTTCATTTGATTCTGTTAACTGTGGAAACTCACCTCCATGGCAGATAAAAGGATGCTTTAGATCACAGCTGTATTGAGCCCATTTCCCAGAATCAGTTGTTGACACGCCGACGCAGTCACCAGATCCTGAACTCTGGGATGGTTGTCCTGCTGCCCAGTTTCTAAAACTGACATTCCACCGATCAGACCATTCCCAAGAGTCCAGGAACAGACCAATCCAGAGCGATGATTCATTATTACTGATCAGATTCTGCTGCTCTGCGCTGCTGATACTCGCCAAATCAGTGTGTTGTTTTCTGCAGTAACTCTGAGCATCTCTCCATGTCATAGCAGTCTCAGTGATGATGAAACCAGTGCTGTCTGTTCAGAAACAGCAGATAAAGACCAGCCCTTAGTCCAGGATCAGCTAAAGTATGGGGGAAAATGAACCAGATTTGAGGACTCACCATTGAAACACACAAATGGGAGAACGGAGCTGCAGCTCTCATCGTACCAGCTTCCATTAAAACTCCTCACACACTCCCCATCACCATTTGGTTCTCCTGGATTCCAGTTACTGTACTGGGACAGTGGGCCCATAGACCAGATCCAGTGATACTCTGCTCCATTGTGGAGACCTATCCATACTGAACCACTGTATCCAGCATCCACTGAATTTACCAGCAAACTCACGTCGCTCATGTTGTCAGCAGTGGCCAGATCAGTGAATCTCGCTCTGCAGTAACTCTGAGCATCTTGCCATGTCATGCTTTCATTTATAAACTGGTACTGGTATTTGCGCCCTTTAAGAGAGAAATATCAGGATTTTAAAGAAAATAGATACTTGAAGATAAAATCATGATTAAAAAGCCCTAAAACACACATTTTTTTTGTGAGCAATTTATAATCTGAAAGTGAGCCAAATAAAATTTGTAATAATCTGAATTTTACTAGTCTAATAATAAAGATGGCCTTAAAAATATTTGGAACTGAACTTGCACATTTGCAAAGGTGGTGGTTTCGCAATAATTTCTACGATGTTAAAACTAAGCATGAAGATCCAACCCTAAACATACTCGTCACTGAGGAGTAAGTAGATAGTCTGAAAACGAACGAATGAGATAGTGTCTAATTTGAATGAATTCAAACAAAATTGTCAAAACTTAAATTGCCATGAGATTGTTACTTTTATCAATACAAGCGTTCCCTGAATTGCACCCATGATCTAACACAATTCTTTACTGTTTGAGCTACACTAACGCTGTAAGTAATTTGGAAAACACTTTTGGGCAGTTAATATATGGATTTTTAATTTTGAAAGTATGGGGGAATAGTGCATCTTGACAAAAATGTTACAATGCGTTCTTATTCAGCTCAAATAGCTTTTATTTTGTATGTTCATAAAGTTTGTTTATTACAATAGAGTGCTGAAGTAGGCCTACTGACGTATTTTTGTAAGCCAGCCCAGAAGTTACAGTAGCATCACCCTGGTTCACTCGACAAAAAAACCCAATATGATTTTAGCATTGGCTTTTGGATAATTTCACAAAATAAGGTCTGTGACTAACAGAGGCTTTGGTTCTTATACATTTGTTAATAATTTTCACAAATGAACACCACAAAATTAACTGGTTTAAGGGTACGTTTACACGACAACGTATGCTTAAAACGGAAAGTTTTTCCCACATACAGACATTGTCAAAACTATCCCCCATTTACACGGATCCGTGAACAACACGACTAATGCTGTATTCTGCTGCCAGCCCATTAGATGGCGATGAAACACTATAGATTGAACACGTAATACGTAATACACATGTACATGACGTCATTGCTGTCAGAGATTTGTTTTTATGGTTTACGGAGAACCGTTTTCAAAACTTGCAGTTTGTAACCCGTTTTCAAAACGCAAATAATGGCCCAAACACCAGTAAATTGACGAGCGCAAACCTTATAAATCACCTTGCATTATTCGTTTATTCATTTAAATACTCTCCTTCCATAAATTTGCCTTCTGAAAGGGAAACTCCTACAAATGGATATGCAAGGTCAGCCGCAAAAATAACTGTTTTCACTCCTTTTAGTAAATTCTGACAGTAGTCTTTTAATGCCAAAAGAAGGTTTGCACTGGCACAGCTGTTAGTAAATGTGGCCCTAATGTCCCATACAACCTCTGTAGTCCCATTTTATTCCTTTTATTAATAATAATATCAATGATACGAATTCGCCAACTCGAAAATAGCTAAATTTTCTCATGAGGTTGTTTGGGAATAGTCACAGCTTCCTTGCACACTTTCTGTATAAGTCAGCCTATAATTTATTCGCAATTTGAAATAAAAAATTTTTGCGCTGTTTTGAGTGTCAGGTTTTTAGAATTAAATTTTTTGGACGGTAATCAGCATATTGTTGTGCTTCACTGTTAAATACAGTAATGCACAATACTTATATACAGAACATGAAATGATAGTCATTCTGTCTAGCATGATCTAATTTATTAGATGCTCACATCCATGGCAGATAAAAGGATACTCCAGATCACAGCTGTATTGAGCCCATTTCCCAGAATTGGTTCTTGACATGCCGACACAGTCACCAGATCCTGAACTCTGGGATGGTTGTCCTTCTGTCCAGTATCTAAAGAAGAGGCTCCATTTATCAGACCATTCCCAATAGTCCTGGAACAGACCAATCCAGATGTTATATCCAGATAAAAGAATATTAGTTATCTGTTTATTTTCCTCAGGGTTGTGGATAGTGGGCAGATCTGTGTAATACTGTCTGCAGTAGCTCTGAGCATTACTCCAACTTTTAGGGCTCCTTACTAAGATGTATCCATTATTTTCTATTGAGAGATGATTAAAAAAAAATCAGTTCATAGCTCTTCTTTCCCAATTAAACAGCACAATATTTGTTTTTAAAGAACTCACCCTTGTAGCACGTAAAATATCGACGAATGGAACAATTATTACCACTCCAGGACCCTAAACGAGAAATTATACAATCTGCATCCTCAGTTGGCTGTCCTGAAGCCCAGTTAAAGTACGGAGAAGATTTGTTTTCTCCATTAGACCAAGCCCAGCGTTTCTGTGCCCCTCTCTTCAGTCCAATCCACACTGATCCACTGTATCCAGCATCCACTATATTCACCAGCCTGTTCACATCATCCATGGTGTCTACAGTAGCCAGGTCAGTGTACTTCTCTCTGCAGTAACTCTGAGCCTCTGGCCACGACATTCTCACATTTAAATAGTGGTACTGCCGAGAAAGAGCAGAACTGCTCCAGAAGAGCCCTGTTAAAATCAAAAACCATGTTAAACCATATATGTACACATCATCATAAATACAGATGACAAATTACACACCAACCTGACAGCAGCAGCAGCACAAACAGACTCCTGTCCATGACTGAACACACAGATCCTCTCTGCTGTTTATCACCAATGTGTGCTGCCGTATTTTAAAAAGGGATTATCGAACACATCATCAATTTTCTGTTTCACAGAGTGTGTTGAATGACATTAAAGATTACATAGAAATCACACTGAGAAATGCCAACAACGCCAAGTTCATGAGTTTTATTCCCAGGGAATGCATGACATTATAAAATGTATACGCTGCATTATAAGTCTTTTTGGATAAAATGATATCAAGAAGCTCACAGTGAGTTAATGCATTGCATTTAATTTCCCTCAAATGGTAAACAGCTGATTAATTAAATGAAAAAACAAGTCAGACATAAATTCTTAATTTCACAAAAAAAAATTTTTATTACCTGAATCAATGACGATTGAAACCTGCCGATTGCCAATTCTTCAACCTATCAACCTATTGCTGCGACTAATATAAAATAGGTTTTTGTTGTGATACTATTGTTCAATAAATTGTCATCTTTCCAACACAAGCCTTTTAATTTTAAACTTTTCAATTCAAAATGGTATGTAAAAATGGCAAAGATATTTCTTTAATTCACAATAAAATTGGAAATAAATACGAGCATCCAGTACTGCGCAAAATCTACGAACATTTGACTTTTAAATTGCAGTAATATGTTTTTATGAACAAGGAGACCCTATAGATGGCATGACCCAGAGATCTGATCTCACCATTGAAGAGTCAGAAGAAACAGAAGCAACTGAGACCATCTAAATCCATGAACTGTGGCAGTTCTCCAAGATGCTTGAAACAACCTACTGTACCTCCCTTCTCGTTTCCTCATGCAGGAATTATAGATTTTGGTTGTCAACATTTGAAGTGGATCAAAACCTTTCATCAAAGTTATACATGAATTTTGAACAAACCCGTTCTTTTAACAACTTTTTTGATCCACTTCAAATGTTGACTTTTGCTGATGTTATCACACTAAACAAGAACATGCTGATTCAGATGTATTCAGGCGCGCTGGAAGCTGTTTCATGCGAGGTGGGCTGAGGGCTGGGTTGGAAAATATGTGACGTCATTGTGTTATGGCTGACGACAAGACATGACATTTCTCTGTATATGTTGTAGCCATTAAAGAAAACATATTTAGTTTCATATTTATGTTTAAATATTATAGGCTAATGTTATTTTTTATTTAATCAATGTTGATTATGAAAGTGAGCGCGCAGCGTGAGAAAGACATGATACATGAGATCATGAAATACCCAAAATGTCTGGAGACATGTCACGAGGAGTGGGTAAGACATGATTTTTACCTTCACTAAGTTTTTTTTATTGTTGTTGTTGTTGTAGAAAGACTCTTTTAAAAATATTTTCGTTTAGTATAAATTGTATCTTAATTTTGATATGTTTTATCAAACAATTGCCTGTATTTAATAGCTAAATAAGAAGCAAATATAGCAGACAATGTAAGGCGCCGGCGATCACTTGCATTGCACGTAAACTGGAGGGCGCCGAAACTCAGCTTGTGCCTCACAGATTTTATAAATATAGGATATCTATTAGCTTGAAATGTCTTCTTTTAAACGAAACTATTCAAAACGAAAAGAAATAGACTAGGCCTACTCTCTGATTATGTAATCAAATGTGCATTTCTCTCTGGCGTTCATGGCGAGTCCGCATAACTTCATCTTTGCAGCGACACAGAAAACACCTGTTTATTAATAAACAATTAAATGTCTCCTTGCTATTTTTGACACATTAATAATCATTACTTTCGCCGCCATCGCCGGTTCTTTGTGGCAAGGTTTATGAGTGCGGGCGTGCGCTTGAGTGCGGCTATATTAGGCTATACGTAAACGCTCATCCTGTAGCCTATTTAAGTAATTAAATCAATATAAAGAGGGGCGATGTGTCCACAGTGGCTAAAATGAACAACTACTAATCGACTAGAAGAAAACTTTAGTCGGAGGCAGCCCTTATTCCACATATTTTCGAACCAGCAGGCCATTCAGGGTTGAGCGCGCGACCCTGAGCGGAATGAGCGAGCGGAGGGATTCAGAAATGCATTCTCCGCTCACATGCTCTGATCGGAACAAACTAAGCATGACAAATTCAAACTTTATTTCATTTTCTCCGTAGCTTGAACACTCAAACACAGCATGTCTATTTTCATTTCCCCCCCCACGTTTTTTAGTACAATATTATGTTAGTCCACAGCCCCCACCATGACGAGGGGGGCTGCAGCCCCCGCAGCACCCCCCTTCCCGCGCTACTGGATGTATTTAGATCTGTCATCTAAAATACATTAACATGAACACAAATCAAATTGGCTAGAAGTTGATTTTTTAATTCTTACCTCAAAATTGTTGTCCTTATATTTTTAGAGACTTACAACTGCTTCTGTCACCTGAGGAAGATTGTG